GATGCTGCTTGGCCTGCTGTGTTCATCCAGCCCTGCACCTTGTTGTCTCAGAAATACAAAGATGCGGACTTTGCACCTTGTATTCCATGGACCTACACTGACTCCCACTTAAACGTGCCTCGTTTTTAAAAGTCTCATTCTTCTTTTACAATTTCCTCGATGGTCTCGCCCTTCCCATCCTCTCATCTCCTCCAGCCCCAAAATCACCAAAGCTTTTTCGATTCAGTAACCAATTTTATTTGCTGCACCATTGACAGCTGTATCTTCAGCTGTTTAGGGCATGAACTCTGACATTCCCTCCCAAAAGCTCCGTTTTCTCTCTTTCTTACTCCTTTTAAGATGCTTCATAAAATCTACTTCTTTGACTGAGCTTTTGGCCATCTACTTTTAATACAGTCTCACGTGTGTTATGGACCAGACTAGACCCCCTCAATATTCGAAGAAGGTAGCCCTGATCTTAATTTTTTCTTATTTTTAAGGCAAACATAAAGTACTGTGTTCTAAGTGCAATGCAACTGGTCAAACTACTTGATGTTAAGCAAAACATTATTTAATCGCTGTAGTTAAAATACAACAAAAAAAAAGGAATTTTAGAATAACTCTATTGGAAAATTTAACAGGGCTATAGATACAGTAACTATTACTAATTAACTGTTCCAATATAGTAACATCCCTTAAACACATGCTTTGGCAAAGAGGCAAATTCAGAAAAACAGAGTTTGGCTCATATGCAATCTAGCAGTGTGGGAAGAGAACCCCCAGCTTTTAGTTGTAACAGAGAGAAGGAGAAAAAATTCCACTTCTTCAAGCCCACAACTGCTTAAAGCTAAACCTAAAAATTATATAAAAACAAAACTAGAGTTCCTAGTCTGAGAGATCTGGCCATACCCATCCAGGCTACTTCTATTGTTCTAACTTTTCAAAAAAAAAACAAAAGGCCTCTCAAATGGTTTATTCTAGTGGTTTTGGTAAACTGCTTGGTACCTCTGCCTTGCAACCTCTCTTCCAAAAAAAAAAGACAAAATAATCTCTTGAAGCCGTAACATCCTCATACGTAAATAGTGTCAGATTTTATTTGAAAATGTGTGTTGAAGTAGAAGATAAAACACTCTTTCAATATTCTATGAATTCAGTCAAATTTGACTCCCTGTAAAATCCAGTCCCAGTTATCCAGATCCCAAGCATGAGAATTCCAGATGTTTGGGATCCAGATAACTGGGACTTTACTGGTATTAGCAATTAGAAGGGTACGATGGATCAGATGCTTTATTAAAGCTAGTTCAAGACTTACCTTATTGGTAAAGAGAGAATTACCTGGCCAGGTACACCGCTATTTATGAGCGGCCATGACCACTCGTAATGCCTCGTGAAACCTGCAGATTCGAATAACTGGCACCCCCACCCCCCCCACCCCCGGCTGCCACTTGATTCCCCAGGCCTGCCAGATACCAGGGAGATTACTGTATATTAATTTCATTCCATACCGATTGCTGGACTGTCCAATGGTAATTAAAATGTTGGAGCAATAATTAAATTCCGTTGGAATCAAGCGTTACATTAAATCAGCACCAGCTCCACCCACCTACAGCAGTTTGGGGAATTCTTCCCACTCTGACATATTGGTCAATCTGTAAGTAGTTTGTGATCTCAGCAAACACGATTGGGTCAAATCTGTTTTTTTAAAGCCACCACTCGGACAGAACTGCCTGGGCTGCTGACAGCTCTTTGCATCATTTAGTTTTTCAGCAAAGCTGAAAGGAATTGCAGTGACTGCAGCTGATAAATTGCTGGTCTCTGTTAACACTCTTTGTCTGTGGTCTGGTAGTTTATCTACCGGCAGTGTTGTCTCTGCAGGCTTTCTGCTTCCTGTTTATAAAGAAAGAGGGTTCCATTCGGGAAGGAGGAAGCTATAAATCAGTCCCGCGGAATAATTTTAGCAGGTTCACAGCTTCACACGCTGGTCCAATTTACCCAAGAGTGAAAATTGCAGAAAATTAATGAATCTTCCACTGCATAGTACAGCATTTATTCTGGCTTTCCAAATAGAGATCTTGAAGGAACAAGCAAGGACAGGACTTAGAAATAAGTTTTTTTTTATAAAAAACTTTGAATGTTGATTTGCAAATAGGAAATCTAACCGGGCAGCACAGTGTTTGGTGGCCATACTGCACAGTAGGAGGCCATTCAGCCTATTGAGCCATTCTAGTTTTCTGAATGAGGTTTCCAGTTCATTACACGTCCTTCTGCTCTTTCCCCACGGCATTACAAGTATTTCCTTTTTTTTTAAAAGATTGTTATTTGCTTTCCCTTTTGAAAGTTAGTATTGAATGAGGTTCCGTTGTCTGTACAGGCAGAACATTTTGCATCACAACTTGTTGAGAGTGAGGGGGAAGCAAAGAAATAAGCTTTTGTCAAGGTCTTTTTCCTCAATTGGGAGAGTCCAAAACAAGGTGTAGATATAGGTTTAACACGAGAAGGGCAAGATTTAAAAAAAGACCTGAGGAGATATATTTTTCACACAGTGTCTGGAACGACTGGCCAGAGGAAGTGGTAGAAGCTGGTACAATTACAACATTTAAAAGGCATCTGGATGTGCATATGAATAGGGAGGCTTTAGAGGGATACGGGCCAAATGCTGGCAAATGGGACTAGGTCAGATTAGGATGTCTGGTTGGCGCAGATGAGTTGAACCGAAGGGTCTGTTTCCGTGCTGTATGACACTATCTGCCCCTATTTCCTTTGCCAATGATCTTAAATCTGTTAGCATTCCTGCTACTAGTGGAACAGTTGGGTGTTGCCGGTTTTGTTGAAAATCAGCAAAGTTGGTGCAAAGTATATTGGAATTTTAAGCGAGACGTGCATCCAGTGCAAGTCAAAGTCCTGCAGTTTCTTGTGCTAGTTTTATAAAGAAAACTAGCCACTCTCCCATGTTGGATTAATCACTGTTGGGAATTGCTGCTGCTCTTCTGTCAGCCTTTCAGGAAGCTCAAAGAATGAAGCTGAGTTTTGTCACAAGGATATTTACGGACACATTTTAAAAGCTTTTTATTCCCATTTAATTCAAAGAGGCTGGCTACGGGTGCCTCAGTATAACTAGGAAATGGTTGACTGAAGATTTTTTTCAGTAAAAGCAGGTGGGAGGGCACTTGCATTTTTGATAAAACTGCACCAAGTTATTAAGGCAAAAATTTGGTTTTAGGTTGCACTTTAAAAACTCTGCCTGATTGCGCTGGTTCATAGAAGATATTATGTTTACCGACATTCAACTATTTTCAAGAGCAACTGGAACAAAAAAAAACTTACTAACATAATTTGCCAAAAGTGCCACAAGTAGAAATTATTACTCCGTTTCTCCCACTTTGCTCAATCAACTTGTTATGTTTTTGAAAACACAGAGCAGCTTCAATGAAAACACAGAGGGAAGTAATTGCAGTCTACAGTATGCCGTTGGAGAGATGAGTGGAACGGACTGCCATGCGTTGTACTCCAGAGCAAACACTTTCATTGAAGAAGTTCTAGACATCGCAAAAAGTTTCCCTGTCATGGCAGAGCTGTATATTGAACCCACAATGGTAGTGCTCAGCAAAGCTACTGTCTTGCCCATCATGGGCAAAACAGCTGGTGCTGATCTGTGCCACCTGAACTCCCCAGCCACGCACAATTGACAGTTCTGCAGCATCTGCGCAAACATCTGTCTCTGCTGGAGAGAAGGGGCACTGCCCCAGAGTATATGTGATGCAAGAATTGTGCCCCTGCACCAGAAAAAACGCCATCAGAAGTGATTGCAAAACGATGATCAACTATTGACTTGCTGAGAATTGTTGGAAAAGTATTTGCCCTTGTCAGACTGCAGATCCTGGCTAAATGCATCTCTCCCAAATCCCAGGATGGTTTCGGAATAGGAAGATCAACAACTGATTTGATGTTTACAGTCACCTTCACAGTAATTGCAAGAGAGAGGTCTGAATAAAGGAGACCACTACATGCTGCCTTCATTGATCTCCCCAAGATATTTGACCACTTGATCAAGTTAAAGCTGGTGGATAAGCGCTTCACTGCCTGACGATGTGATCTCCTCTTTGGCTGACAGTGTGTCAGCCACCCAATAATGGATCAATATTGGAACGCTTTGAGATTAGCAATGAGATCCAAACAAGTTTGTGTTCATGTGCTGACACTCTTTTTGGCTTATTCTTCTCTTTGCTGCTGAAGTGCTACTTAGGTTCACCAACAGACAAAGCATACTTATGTACCAGAACTGATGGAGAGTTGTTCAGCCTTACTTATCTCAGATCCAAGACACAGAATTCTCTGATTCTCTCTATGCTGATTATGTTGCACTTGCATACCTACTGCAGGAAATGGACAGATTCTTCCACCACTGTAAGGAGTTTGATTTGACCATTAATATCTGAAAGATCAATGTTTTAGTCCATGCTGCCATTGTCATTGATATCATAGATCATAGAATCCCTACAGAGTGGAAACAGGCCCTTCGGCCCAACAAGTCCACACCGAACCTCAGACCATCCCACCCAGACCCATCCCCCTATAACCCACCTAATCTACACCTCCCTGAACACTATGGGCAATTTAGCATGGCCAATCCACCTAGCCTGCACATCTTTGGACTGTGGGGGGAAACTGGAGCACCCGGAGGAAACCCACGCAGACACGGGGAGAATGTGCAAACTCCACACAGACAGTCGCCTGAGGCTGGAATCGAACCTGGGTCCCTGGCGCTGTGAGGCAGCAGTGCTAACCACTGTGCCACCGTGCCGCCCCACTGTGGCCGCTGTGGTACAGGAGATTTCTGATGACTTCATGTATCTAGGTTTGACAATCATCAGTTATTTGTCACTTGTTTCAGATATCAACACGTCACAAAATCTCCAGCTCTTGCATCCAAGTTGAGTAAGAGAGAATGGGCCAACAATAAACTGACTGAAAACACCAAACTGCAGAGCTAACAGGCACTGCGTCCTTAGTGTGACCCTTTATACTGGTGAGACATGCATAGCATCATCTAGGCAGGAGAAAAGCCTGAACATTCGACACCTTTTTTGCTGTCTCCAATGTCTCCTCAGCATCACTTGGTAGTACGGGGTCAGCAGCTTGGCTTTCTGGAGTATGCCCGTTCCATCAGCGTACACCCATTGCCAAGCACTGGCTCAGCCATGTCCATTGGGCATACTGCTATCAACCGTCCAGTAACCCCGAAAGTACTGGGTCATGACTTGTTGGGTACAGAACACTGCAAGTGAAGATGGCGGACATTGGCAACTGGGAGACAGTCGCTGATGGGGCTTGGAAGGATGTTGGACAGACTTGCAGAAAAGGAAAGCTTGTCTCAGACTTTTCAGTAAAGGAGTTGGGACATTATCTCGAGGTTGTATAGGACATTGGTGAGGCCTTTTCTGGAGTACTGTGTCCAGTTCTGGCCGCTCTGTTATAGGAAGGATGTTATCAAACTGGAGAGGGTTCAAAAAAGATTTACCAGGATGTTGCCGGGAGTGGAGGGTTTGAATTATAAGGAGAAGCTGGATGGGCTGGGACTACTTTCCCTGGAGTATAGGAAGTTGAGAAGACCATATGGAGGTTTGTAAAATCATGAAAGATAAGGTGAATGGCAGATACCTTTTCCCTAGGGTGGGGGATTTCAAGACTGGGGCATATTTTTAAGGTGAGAGGAGAAAGATTTAAAAAGACGCAGTAATTTTTTTTTACGCACAGTGCTTCATGTGTGGAATGAACTTCCAGAGGATGCGGGTGCATTTGCAACATTTAAGAGACATTTGGATAAGTTCACGAATAGGAAAGGTTTGGAGGGATATGGGTCAGGAGCAGGCAGTTGGGGCTAGTTTAGTTTGGAAATATGGTTGGCATGGACGAGATGGACCGAAGACTTAATACAGTGTGGAGCTGGAGGAACACAGTAGGTCAGGCAGCATCAGAGGATCAGGTGAGTCGATGTTTCGGGTCGGGACCCTTCTTCAGGATCTGTTTTCGTACTGCATGACTCTGACTGGTCAAGCGGGCTAAGAGAAGACAGACCAGTGAATCCTGCACCTCTTAGCCTCCTTTCTTTGTCTGCAGTGAATCTGACAGATGTAGCTATGCCCGAGTGAGTTTCCCAAATTGCATCAGACACTGCTTAGCACAGATTTGAGCAACTCGGCATAAACCATTGTCTCGGGAGATACAAGGCTGCCAATGCAATGCTCCATAAACAACAGCTTCTCTGTTTTCTGAACTCCTTCATCTGTGGTCTCACCCCGTCTACATGTAAACTGGTGAAATAGATTTCCTTACGTTCATACGATCTGGATAAGAATTAATGGTCTTGCCTTTCTTACTTCACCCAATCTGTTGCAGCTAATTTTATTTTTGTCACGTGTGAGTTTTTTTTTATTAATTTGACAGATGCATACAATTAGTTGGTGTTGCTGTGTATTTTCTCTTCAAGTGACTCGATTCATGACCAGGGTCACAATTGCTTCCATCTTAGTGACAATTTGGAGCAGATCATCAAATTTTTGCTGCATTTCCTAATTGATCATACTTTTCCCATGATCATTTAGGTTCCTTTTTCAGTTCTATAACAGTGTGTCCGCAGGGCAAGAACAGTCTTGATTAACAACCATGTACAGTATAGTCACATAAGACATGTTTGCAAAGCAGACGTGAGGTGGGATTTAAATGTTCACTGGAAGGGAATTGTTTTTGAGAGTCTAAGAGGATGATTACCCTGCAGGCTGGGTGTTTGAGGGGTATGGTTTTGGAGAATGAGTTCCTCTGGAGAGATTGCTTGGTGGTTAAGGTAGGGGGATTGGTTTCAACGATGCAAGGGCCTGGAGGAAGGACTAGGGGTTTGGTCATTCCTCTGGGGAGGAGGTTGAGGGGGTGCATAACCTCTTAGGGAGTGTCTGACGGGGCTTGTAGGGGTCATTTACATAGTGAGTAAGAAAGGAAGTATTCCATCCATATGTCCCATTAGAAGCTGCTCCCTGTTGGTGACTCGATAGGTTTGGTTCCTGCATTAAAAATAAAGTACGGTGGAAGTCCCTTTATCGTGCAGATGTTGAGGTTCAATAAGAAATTCTGCATTAGACCTGGACCATGTTATAGCTATACCATGGTAATAAAGAAATATCTACTTACTCCAATTTTTAAAAAGCAAAAGACGATTTAAATAAAGATTTACCTCTCTTCGGAGCCATGAGATTCCCGTGCTATAAACAAATCGGTAGTACATTGAACTGTGGTATAAAGGGATTTCCATTGTACTCGAACCTAATGAACTGTACAAAAAAGAAACACAAAAGATGTCATTTCGACCATAAGCTGACGTGCACATTTTGTTTGTATTTTAACAGCACGTCCCAATTTATTTGTTTCCTAAACTGGAATATCAGCTGGCGTACGGAATTGAAACCTTCACTGACAGTGAAATATGCCGGTTATGGACTGAGAGTCTGCTCAATTCAAATACCTGGTTTTATGTTGGTGAGTTCCGCTTATACTGAGCCAGTAAGCACGCGCTTGTGTGTCTCTGTTTAAATGGTCCATTGAATGACATGGCCACGGTGTGAATCTGCTGATGAGCAAATGAATCCCCACCCCGCATTGACCAGTGAAGTGAGGCTCACTTCGATCAACCAGTGTTGTATCTATCAACAACAGGACTGTTTTGTTTTGCATTCTGTGTGACGGAATAGGAAAGTTATATCTTTTAATATAATTTGGTAAGCTCAACTCTGAGGTAACACTCTTGCTTGAGTCAGAAGGTTATGGGTTTCATCTCATTGCCATGAGTTGAGCACATAATCCAGGCTAATGCTGTGCGGATGTTGTACTGTTGGAGGTGCAGTTTCTTTGATACAATGTTAAATTTCAGCCTGTTGAGGTAATGTGAAAGATCTCATTCAAGATCTGCTGAGCGATAGTTAAGATGAGGTGGGGAGGGGTGCTGTTGAGAAGGGGATGTGGGGACCTCAGCCACTGTGGGAATTGAAGCTGTGCTGTTTGCATCACTCTACATCAGCTGTGACCAGCTGTCCCAATGATTAAGCTCACCAACCTGAAGTGCAATCAAATTAGCTACAAGCCATTGCTCGAGTGTTTCGGTAATTTTTTCAACTTTGTTAATTTCATTGATTTAAGAAGGCCATTCATCTGATTGACTTTCTGCCAGAGTAGTAGTTCTGTTCTCCCACCCTGTTCTCCATAGCCCTGCAGTTTTCCTGCATTTGTAGGTTTTTTCCTCATGTCATCTTTGCTTGCTTTGCCATTTGCTTCAAATCATTGCCCTCTGAATGTCGACTCCTGCTGGCAGCAATATCTCTCCATTTACGTTGCTATTTGTGAAGGCTTTCTCTGCGCGCATTAGCTGCCATGTTCCTCACTGTTAAAGCAGTGATGATACTTCAGTGAAAATAGTGCTACAAAGGCTGTGAAGCACATTGGGATGGCTAGAGATTGTAAAAGGCCCTATTATATAAATGCAAGGCAAAATCTGAAAGTCAGCGGTGCTATGCTAACCCTGCAGTGCAACTCACAAGTGAGAGTCTGGACATGTGCTCAAAACAAGGAACAGGCAGCATAGCCATTTATTCCTCATTGCAGGTAAATTTGAGAAGTACTTCAATCATTTTTCTCCAGCTTATGATTGTCTTACTTGGTCTAATTGACACTGAGCAATCCCAAACTAAACTAGTCCCACCTGCCTGCTCCTGGCCCATATCCCTCCGAACCTTTCCAATTAATGTACTTATTTAAGTTTCTTTTAAATGTGATCTTTAAAAAAGGCAACCGATTTATTCCTACCTCACTTCCTCCTCCCTACGACAGGAGCGAGATGCTATAAGAATGTCCCAGTCCAAAGCAACAAGAGAAAAATACAACTTTAAAAAAAAACCCCAAAGAACTGCGGATGCTGGAAATCTGAAACAGAAACGGGAATTGCTGGTGAAATTTCGTGAAGGTAGTCACTGGCCCCAAAAAGTTGCTGCTTTCTCTCCACAGATGCTGCTGGACCTGCTGAGTTTCTCCAGTCTCTGTTTTAAATTCTAATTAATTTTGCTTTAAAATGGCTATGTATGTTTTCTTAAGGAGCACAAATCACCTTTGACCTTGGAATATGTCTGATTTAGATAGAAGTTTCGCCCACTTAATAGGGAAAAGATCAGATTTATGCTCTGAATGGATGAGCCTTTTTCCAGTCTCAGAAATAGGCTAAGTTTCAACACAGTAAGATCCATCCGAGGAGCAAGTATTTGGCACAAAAACAAAGTTGCTGGAAAAGCCCAGCAGATCTGGCAGCATCTGTGAAGAAAAAAAAAATCAGAGTTAACGTTTCGGGTCCGGTGACCCTTCCTCAGAAGTCTGTATTTAGCCTCAAGGCAGTGACTACAGATAATGGGACGTGGTAAGATGCAAATACTCCACTTGTCAGCAGAGGGTGCTGTTAGATCTCTGATTCAATCTTGCATTCAGTTTTATCTTTTTGTAGTCTAAGCACTCTATTGCAGCATATCAGTTCTTAGAGCAATTTTACTGCAATTGTCTTTGCTTGATCAGCATTTTTTAAAGATGTCATGTTGCGGCTGTACAGGACATTGGTTAGGCCACTTTTAGAATACTGCGTTCTCCCTGCTCTAGGAAAGATATTATAAAACTTGAAAGGGTTCATAAAAGATTTGCAAGGATATTGCCAAGGTTGGGGGATTTGAGCTATAAGGAGAGGCTGAGGCTATTTTCCCTGGACCATCAGAGGCTGAGGGGTGACGTTATAGAGTTTCTCTTATAAGGTCTCATAAAATCATGATGGGCATGGATAGGGTAAACAGCCAAGGTTTATTCCCCCGGGGTGGGGGAGTCCAAAGCTAGAGGGCATAGGTTTAGAGTGAAAGGGGAAAGGGACCTAACAGATAACTTTTTCATGTAGAGTGTGGTGCGTGTATGGAACGAGCTGCCAGAGGAGGTGGTGGAGGCTGGTACAGTTACAACATTTAAAAGGCATCTGGATGGGTACATGGATAGGAAGGGTTTAGGGGGATATGGACCAAATGGTGGCAAATGGGACTAGACTAAGTTAGGATGTCAGGTTAGTATGGACGAGTTAGACTTGAAGGGTCGGTTTCTGTGCTGTATGATTCCATGACTGTTTTGATAGATTTATTTTAGGCAGAAGTAGAAAGTGATAATGATCAACTCTATACCCTCATTGTTACCTCTGTCCCAAGAAATATGAACCTGCATGTGTACTTCGATTAGTAGTGGGCTTATTCACAGACTGTAGCATTGCGCGTCTCTACTTCCTACCCGCTGCAATCCATAGTCCCAGCAGCGTCTCTTTGTATGTTTTAAGGTATTTTCTAAGCAACCTGCTCACAGCTGTGGCACAAGTGGGACTTGAACCCAGACCTCCCAGTCCAGGTGTAGGGATGCTACCACTGTACCACAGGAGGACCCTTTATATGTCCTTTGAGTTTTCTTTTTATTTAACCTATTTTTCTAATCAACCTGTTCAGAGATGTTATTATACACCACGTGGAGCAGGTGGGACTTGAACCTGGCCCTCCCAGTTCAGAGGCAGGGACAGTATCACCACAGCTCAATAGGGCCCTTGTATGTGCTTTAAGTACTTATTTAAAATGCCCTTCTCCTGTGTGTTTTAACACCATGACTAGCACATGACTGAAATTGTTGTGCTTCAGTCCACCATTCTGTCAACTTTCTATCTAGATTTTTCTGCTTCCCTTTTACCTTTATTCATTCACAGGATGAGGGCATCGCTGGCTAAACAACATTTGTTGCTCATCCCTAATTGCCCACAGGGCAGTTAAGAGCCAACCACATTGCTGTGGGCCTGGACCAGGTAAGGATGGCAGTTTCCTTTCCTAAAGGACATTAGTGAATGAAACCCATGTGGGTTTTTTCCTGACAATCAACAATGGAATTCACAGTCATCATTAGATTCTTAATTCCAGATATTTACTGAATTCCAATTCACCATCTGCTATGGCAGATTCGAACCTGGGTCCCCTGAGTCTCTGGATTAACAGTCCAGTGATAATACCACCAGGTCATTGCCTCCCCTCATTGCTAGGCCATTCCCCATCACTAGGCCATCTCCTCCCCTACCCACTTGCGTTTCAGTGAATTCACGCCCTTTGCAAATTGAGGGTGGAAAATAGTGTGCTGGAGAGTGTAAAAACAGAAAATCCCAGCTTGCTGAATTGCGCCATGATGCCTTGGGCTTTGTGGAGAAAGAGCAGAGCTGAAAGTCGGCTGTTGACTGACCCAGATAGCAAGGTGTAGAGCTGGATGAACACAGCAGGCCAAGCAGCATCAGAGGAGCAGGAACGCTGACGTTTCGGGCCTAGACCCTTCATCAGAAATGGGGGAGGGGAAGGGGGTTCTGAGATAAATAGGGAGAGAGGGGAGGCGGATAGAAGATGGATAGAGGAGAGGATAGGTGGAGAGGAAACAGATAGGTCGAGGAGGCGGGGATGGAGCCAGTAAAGGTGAGTGTAGGTGGGGAGTTCGGGAGGGGATAGGTCAGTCCAGGGAGGTCGGACAGGTCAAGGGGGCGGGATGAGGTTGGTAGGTAGGAGATGGGGGTGCGGCTTGAGGTGGAGGAGGGGATAGGTGGGAGGAAGAACAGGTGAGGGAGGCGGGGCGAGCTGGGCTGGTTTTGGGATGCGGTAGGGGGAGGGGAGATGTCCATCCTGGGCCTCCTGCAATGCCACAACGATGCCACCCGAAGGTTGCAGGAACAGCAACTCAAATTCCGCTTGGGAACCCTGCAGCCCAATGGTATCAATGTGGATTTCATAAGCTTCAAAATCTCCCTTCCCGCAACCGCATCCCAAAACCAGTCCAGCTCGTCCCTGCCTCCCTAACCTGTCCTTCCTCCCACCTATCCCCTCCTCCCACCTCAAGCCGCACCCCCATCTCCTACCTACCAACCTCATCCCGCCCCCTTGACCTGTCCGTCCTCCCTGGACTGATCTATCCCCTCCCTAACTCCCCACCTACACTCACCTTTACTGGCTCCATCCCCACCTCCTCGACCTTTCTGTTTCCTCTCCACCTATCTTCTCCTCTATCCATCTTCTATCCGCCTCCCCCTCTCTCCCTATTTATTTCAGAACTCCCTTCCCCTCCCCCATTTCTGATGAAGGGTCTAGGCCCGAAACGTCAGCCTTTCTGCTCCTCTGATGCTGCTTGGCCTGCTGTGTTCATCCAGCTCTGCACCTTGTTGTCTCGGATTCTCCAGCTTCTGCAGTTCCTACTATCTCTGTTGACTGACCCAGATGCCAATTATTGTTATGAGTCAGCTGGTGGTCTAGCTGCTTTTAGCCTTAATTAGAACATATTTGGAATACTGTGTGTGGTTCAGGCCTCCATACTATGAAGATTGTGTAGAAGCATTGGAGAACGTGCCACGAAGTCTGAAGATGATAACAGTTTAGAGAAACTACAGCTTACCAGAAAGGCTG